ATAAAATAAATAAATAAATAAAAAATTATCTCGTGGTTATTAATAAATTTTGACATTGATTTTTTTATTACAAGTGACGTCAGCGTAGTAAATGCTGTGGCTCCAAACAGGTTACTCTCACCATCCACCTCCATGTATTAATACATTATTTATTTGATCTCATGATTTAAATATTAGTAAATAACTTGTTAGCATATTAATTGGACCAACTTGGATGGGCCGACTATATGGGCTGGCCAGTTCAGGTGGTTTGAGCATCATCCAACACAAACATTTATTAGACTCATATATTATTAGGAGGTCATTGTTATGATATATATTTACTTGATAATTTAACTATAGAATCATGATTTGTAAAATGTAATAAAGTCTAGAATTATTAAAAAAATGTTTTTATTAAATGCATACTGCTCTATTTAATGAAGAATCATGATTTGTAAAATGTAATAAAGTCTAGAATTATTAAAAAATGTTTTTTATTAAATGCATAGTGATCTATTTAATGATAGCCATTATTGGTATAGTTTATTATATATTTATATTACATGACTATGAAATATTTTGAATTTTTTTATTGTGGAAATTATTTGATATGCAAATATGCGAATATGTATGGATTCACCTAGCACTGTCAAACGGCCAGCTCCGGCCCGACCCGCTCTGGCCCGCGGTTCAAACGGGGCGGGCCGAAATGGCCCGTATTTCTACGGGCTGGGAAATCCATGGCCCGTAGCCCGCCCGCATTAGCCCGCGGGCCAAATCGGCCCGCCCGCGGTTTTTTTTTTTTTTTTACTTACTTTTTTTTTTATTGTTATTATTATTTTTTTTGCAATTTATAATGTAATTTTGGTTTTTAAATTCAAACTATAAAAGGAAAAAATGAACAGTGGGAATAGAATTACTTGTACAACATTTTGATCTCGATGGTGACCATATATTGTGAATTTGTGATTGAATTGTGGTAAAATGCAAAATAAAATTAAAAACTTTCATCCTTTAATAATTGACTATTTTTAATAATTGTTGTTGCTATTATGCTATATTAAGGAAAGTGATTGAATTGGGACATTTAAAAGTGGACGACCAATGTTTTGTCAGCTCCATCAAATCTCTACCTTGCTCAAATTCTTCACGTCTTTACATTTTTATTTCATATTTATATTATACAATTAAATTCAAGAAAAAAATAATACAATACTTGTCATTAAAAACAAATTACATTTTATTTCATATTTATATTATACAATTAAATTCAAGGCAAAAAAAAGAATACAAATATACAATACTTGTCAAAAAAAAAAAAATACGGGCTGGCCCGCGGTCTGGCCCGCCCCGGCCCGCGCCAGCCCGCGGGCCAAACGGGGCGGGCCAAATAGGCCCACGATTGAACGGGCTGGCAAAGCAAAGGCCCAAGCCCGTCTGTTTAGGCGGGCGGGCGGCCAGCCCGCGGGCCATGGCCCGTTTTTTACAGTGCTAGATTCACCCTTGTGATATGAAAAGAAATATATATGGCTCAGTCAGTGCGGCTTTGTCGCCGGCAAGTAATATATGATAGTAGCTCATGATGGTTCAATTGTTGACCAAAATATTATGAACAGTTATGTAAAATGGCCAAGTGCAACCACCGACAATAGACAATACAATTAAGGCTTGAACGGCTAAAAAGACCGGTCAATGTATTAATTAAAAGATACCGGTGATATGGAATGGGCAGATGGTAAGATGACCACACGTCGCAACGTGACAAATTAAAATTTATATTTTTCTTTAACCAACCTCTACCAACTAGCAGTCCTTGCGAGCAAAGGTTGATCCCACGAGGAGAATTATTATATTTCTCGTATTAACTGAAATTAAGAAAGCATAAATGAGAGATTAAAAACTAAGATCTTAATTAAATAAATAAAATCTAAATAATGAAATAAAATAAAATAAAGAGAAATCTAGTTAACGTTTCCATCTACACCCTCGACCAATACATTTAATCAATTTTGCTATCAAATCTTGTTATCTTGTGGAATTACTAGCCTTAGGTAACATCACGCTCTACTACCTTTTTTTCCTTATTTTTAATTTAACCGCGAGATGCTCTAAGATTAAACCTGACTTCTTATACCGTCTAAGAGACGTTCTGTAGATTTTATACAATTAGTCGCTTTAGAGCTAGAAAAATAGGTTAGACTAAGTAGTGAATACAACCACGTGGTTCACTTAAATAGGCTGTGCTATCTCCGGTAGTTACCAGCTTCAGGTTGCTCTTGAGTTAAACCCAACAACAATTACGGATTGCAAGTTCAATTCTAGCATTAGACACGAAAAATCTTGTCTAAGTGATCAAACTAAATAAAATCGAACACATCATGGTTGTTCAGTCAAAATAACACAAACAATTTCAAAAAAATAATTAAATTATTAACCACAAAAATTTTCAAACATCGTCAAATCGTAACTAGAAATAAAATGCACTCTAACATAATAAATAAAAATAAAAGTCCTAAGTGGGCCAGATGTGCCCAATTCTCACATCTGCTTTATTGTCTCACTCCCTAATATATATCATTTCTTGTTACAATGGTCTTGCATCTCAAATTTATCTTAGGCCCATATAGTTGGACTTTAATCTAATGTTTCGTCCATTCCTAAGGAATTTCTATAGGTTGAATCTTGGGCCACTTCAAACTTTGCTGTTGTCAAATGCTTAATTTGCCCACTCCTAAGGAATCTCAATACTTGCCACTTTTCTAACTCGGGTTTTTTCTTGCTCTTAAAAAATTCGAGTATATCGCGTTCGATTTTCACTTCAAAATCTCAATACCTGCCGCTTTTAACTTCGATTTTTCTTGCTAGATCTTCGAAAATTCAAGTACGTCGTCATCGGAGATTAATTCAAGTATATTGAGTTTGATTTTCATTTCAAAACCATGCATGTCCCTCCCATTAAATACTGCCCACAATATAGCCTAAAGTTACAAGGATCGACCAATAATGTATATGTATTTGCACACACCTAACCAAATAATCAAAATACAGTTACGAGCCATACTATTTGAGTTATGAATTCTTCTTTTGCATTGATAACTTCAAGCTCACTTTCGTATTTGTCATCGTCACAAGAGAATGAAGTAGTTGATGTTGATGAACCAAACTTGAGATTCGTAATCTTATTAAAAAAATAATGTATTATTTTTTTTCTTGATGAATGATAAATTTTTAGACTTAATAAACGAAATAATATATGCAGATAATTTAAACTCTTATCTAGGAGGAGTTTTTCAATTTGAATTTGTACATAATTTAAACTCGTATCAAAAGTCTCGATTTAATTTGGTAGAGATATGGTTTGTAATTTGTATTATATGTTAGTCTCAATTTAATTTGATAGATATACAGTTCATACTCATATTATGTTATGGAGATCTTCCATTTGACATGATTTGAATATAACTTATACCGTATATATATTTGGTACCGGTAAGTTGAATTTTACGAGAAGTGTGAGTTAGGAGTAGGTAGTTAATTCGATTGTCCAAGTACAAACTCATTTTCTTATGATCTCTCATTTTCTTCTACCACGGTTGATGATGCTCTCCATTTTTGTAACCAAACTCGTACATTACCTATCGCACGAGTCCCTATTTCCCGTCGGCGCTGGTCGTTACCGACCCTACATGTTTATGGTAGCCGACACGGGCTCTAGCTTGAGGTGGGTCCACGAGTCCTATTTTCTGTCGAAACTTAGACATTGTCACCTCGATCAAAATGGTTAAGGGGACTCCCGTAAGGTACATGTCCAGAAGCTGATGGAGCAGTACACTCGCAAGGAGTGATCTATGGAGTCTGAGGGTGCACTCAGTATATCAAGCGTGACACAATACTCTTTCCGCAAGGATATGTGCAATAACCCCACCAGCTTGAGCACGGCTGAAGGGTTCAGCATTCTCAACTACATGTGCAATAACCCCACCAGCTGCGCTACACGCTTTTTTTGTTTTTGCCATATCGCGACGTTCTGCCGGCTGAGTATGTCAAAGCTCTCTCCACATGGTACAACAACAACCAGACGCGCTTCGATCTCAAAATCTGCCGCTTCAATAAAAAAAAAAATTAATACCTAAGAGCCTAAGACGAAATATCCCCGTATTCTTCACGCACCATAGCGGTTGAATCGACTTGGCCCCAATCCCCCGAGCCACCATCCTATACCTCCACTCATTAAGCCTATAAGTAGCCTCCGCATAACTCTTCCCCCAATCATCGTCATTATTTCCCGACATTCACCAAAATTTTGTGAACACGCCCTCCTTGTGCTGGAGGATTGACATTTATGTTTTCTTGCATAACAGTGGCGGTCATTACTCTGAATAACAGAGGTGGTTGAAAGCATAACGATGATTGGCCGAAAGCATCCATAACAGTGGTGGTGGTCGAAAGCATAACGTCCTTATCTCGTTAAACCAGATTGGCCGAAAGCATCCATAACAGTGGTGGCCGTTACTCTGAATACTTTCTCTGTTTCACTTTTCATCTCTATAATTTTGATTATGTCGTCATCCGATCATTTTAGCGATAATAATAACACCTATGCTATAACCCAAAAAACTACCCCTCCAACTCTCTTAATTATGCAAACCAAATCCTAAGGAACCCCACCTTTTTCAAGGTTACCAACTTTTCTCACTTTGATAAGTCCACAAACCGAAAAACCACTCACTCTAAAATCAAACACAAAACGATCTCAAGTTCTTCACAACTTGTGCTTCGATAAGTCGACACACCGAAAACGCTCACTCTAAAATCACACACAAATCGATCCCTTAACCGTCTGCCTCCCAGAAAGTAGTACTCAGGTGCATTGCATGAGAATAATCGGGGAAATTAAGGACAAAACCACCTAGACTCCCAAAAACGTTATTGTATGCTAACTCTTTTATTTGTCAAATACGTTATTTGAAATCATATAATTACATTCACCTTAATAAGCTAAGCGCTATTTATTATTTATGTTATCGGGACTGTCCGGGGCCAGCCCGGGCCTGGCGATTCGAGCCAGACGACCACACTGTTTCTGGCCCAATCTCTTTGGTCTGGACCGGTTTGGCAGCCCATTAGGATAATGACCTACAACAATTTATTTTTATTTTTATATTTTTTTTGCTCTTGTTTCTCTCTCATTAATCTGTAGCACTATGGACAAACTATACCAAAAAGAGCATTTCGTGTCATTGCTCGCCGACCTGCTTCGATTTGTCTAGATGTGATCCAAGCTGGTTCAAGTGCTTGAAGAGCCTCCTCAAAAAACAAAGAATGACTACCTTTTTATTTTAAGAACACCTATTAGTGCTTCCCGCGTGAATCGTTTACCAGAAACTATTCAATATCCCTACGAAAAGTGGATGGCATCGGAACGTTTCGAAAAGTAAAAAATAAATATAATAACAACTATCTTCAACTTAGATTCTCTTGGATTTTCAAGAAACGCGTTCAAATCTCCAACACCACCTTTGAATTTTTAAGAATGTTCTTGAATTTGAAACTTAAATTTGATTGGTGATGTATGGTTTGATATAATCTCTATGAGTTTTTGACTTGGTGGGCGGATAAAAAATATTTGTATAACTAATTAAATGTCGTATTTATCTTGGAATTATTTACCAAAAATAAACAAAAACATTATTAAATTTTGGTGTCTACAAATGCTTAATTGAGATGGGCAGATTAAATGTCTTAGTAATGAGTTGGGTATCGAAACTTTTAACTTGATTGAGAAAGCTAGAGTCTCAAAAATTATTATTTGATTTAGACATTGTCTAGGAGTTTTTCAATTTGGTTTATAATACATAGTTTAAATATAAAGTAGCCTTGATTTAATTTGTTAGACATATATTTTATACTAGTATCATGCACTCTTATAACGGGATTTTCATTTAACTTGTTCGGTAGATAATTTATATTTTATTTTATTTTATTTATTTTTTTTTTTAAGTTGGGCATTTAACTGATCAGCTCGAAGTACCAAGTTGGCCCAACTATTCTCGGAAGAAGCCTCCCGCCTCGACCGGGACCTCTCCTCCTCCCTAGCCTCCTACTTCGCAGTTGCGGCCACAACTACAACATCCATCGTCGAGACACCGCTCCAGGCCACCACACAGAGCTCCGGTTTTCTCGCGCGCGTGCATGTCGGAACAAACGACGACCAACCCGACATGTATATCATAGTCGACACGGGCTCTAGCCTGCTGTGGGTCCACTGCAACCCAGACAACCCCAACGCTCCTGAGCCCGCCTTCCACCCGAAGCGCTCCCCCACATTCCGCAAGGAGATGTGCAACGAACCCACCAGCGCCTGCTTTCCTCGTCCCGTCTGGTTCACGTGCGAAGACTGGGGCTGCATGTTCAAGATCGCCTATGCCAAGGGAGAGTGCAGTGGTTACCTTGGCCGTGATACATTCGAGTTCGAACCCCTCCATGACGAAGACAACAACAACGAGGTGGAGGCCGAGAGGTTCGTTCTCCAGAACATCACCTTCGGCTGCACCACTCATTCGAAGGCCCCAAGAGTGAATGGCGTCCTAGGACTCAACGTGAATCGGGTCTCTCTCATCTCCCATACGGGGTCCTCGCGCTTTGCCTACAAGCATAGGCAACATAAGCGACCCCACGTACCCTTACAACATACTGGTTTTATACGATGGGGATGAGATCGGGCTCCACGGCTCCCAAACACCCCTCATCATCAACGCCCATTACTACATCTACCTCGAGGGCATCACGGCCGGAGGTCTAACAGTCATGGGATTTGACTTCCGCATGTTGATGCTAATGGACTTGGGCTCAACCTACACCTATTTTCCCATGGCGGTATAAACACTCTTTGAAATGGCATATCATATAACTAAAACAATTAAACTAAAGTTCCAAAAAAAAAAAATAAAAAAAAATGCCATATATTGTGCTAACAATTTTATTTGTCTATTTGAAATCATATAATTAATTACATTCACTAATTAATAAGCTAAGTTATTTATTTTTATATTTTTTATTTTAAATCGTAAATTATAATAAGATATATAATTATAATACAAATCTTAAGGTTGAGTATATATATGGACTTGAAACCAAATACAAATATTATTTTATAATTAATTAAATTAGTTTTTAATATTAAATTGAACAATCCTTTTTCTAATTACTAACAACTAGTATTGTTTCCCGTGCAAATGCACGGGGTGAAACAAAATAATATTAAAAGATACAAAGTAATTTATACATATATATTTATATATTAAATACTTGCTTAATACAACTTTTTTCTTCTTCATGACGCGTTCATAAATTAATATTTACAATTATTTGAAATAAGCATTTGTGGCCATTAAAATAGCGACAGATTTGACCATGAGTAAATATGGAGTTCTTTAGATATAAATCAATATGCGAGATATTGTCCTTGGTTCTTGTTAATCGCATGACATACGAAAGTGTACATGAACTTATATAGACTACTTCTAGAAAAAATAACAATATCACAACTGTGTGAACCAATTAATACTCTATACTACAATATATGATCGTCGAGTCTCGCTATAACCAAACGTGTATCGTTGCGCACCCACTTAAAGTGATAAATGTTCCTCTTCAAAATTACTGGAATGCTCACTTACAAAGGAATTTGTGATTTTTTTTACATCTGGACATTTTTGTTATTCAAGATTTATTGGTATTGAAAAAATAAAATAATGCATGCATTGTTAATTATTTGTAATCACCTAATAACTGATATAATATCATGCAAATCGAAATTTTACTTTTCTTTTTTTATAAATCAGTTCAATCATAACAGTAAGATCAATAACTATATGTTGATTTAAACAAACATTTGTCTTATTCATTGATAGTAAACTTTTTCATATAATTTGTGTCACACTTCAACCTGAAATATATAGAAATGAAATGCAAAATTATCGTATTTATTTATATTTAGAAAAATATTAGTGTATCAAAATATACTATAATATAAAAATATAAATTTTGAAAAATTACATCAAATCATTGTTAAATAGATTCGTTTGAAATAAGAATTTATTATTATATCATTGAAAAATCATGTTAGATAATAAAATGGGATAAATATTTTATTGCCATTAAAGTTAATATGTTAATAGACTTGTGAAAATTAAAGTAAAATAAAAATGTCCGATATAAATAGTGAAATTTAACCATTTTATGTAATATCTGATTTTTAGGAATTGACATCATTAACAATTATAATTTTTTATTTTGTGCATAAGGGTCGAGTATGAATTTATGGATGGATGTGTGTGAAGACTTCAAAAAGTAAGTGAATCTCTTGTTAATAGTTTTTAATTTTATATTTACAATTCTTTGATATACATGGATTTTAATTTATTTATACTAATTGTATGTAATTGGAACTCTTGTTCATATAGTAAGACTAATAGTACATTATATTAATTCGCGAACCAAATATAATTTAATATCAAGATTTGTTGTACTATAAATATAAATAAACTTTTAATGAGGAAATAAAATTAACACTTTGATATTCCATGGCATTCTAACTGTGAATTTCAAAATTTTTTAAAAAAAAAAATCCTAAAAACGTGTCAGCGTACGTGGATTCTAGAAAAAAAATAATAAACGCACAAACATAACTTAATAAAAAAATGATTCCATATTTTTTTTTGAACCCACAAAAAATACTAAAAATATGAATTCACTTCTCTAATTATATAGTAAACAAATTTGTTTTAACTTTTACTTTTAAATTTGTATAATTTAAATAATAATTTATTAATGTTGCAAACTGTAAACTTAACTATTTTATTAAAATAGTTATAAAGAAATATAAAATTATAATTAATTAAAATAATAAATATAAAAGGTTCAACAAACTAATTACCGAAAACAAACTTTCCACGGTGTAGACTTAGAGGAAAATAGGAGAATAATGGTGGCCTGTTTTTCGGCCTCAAGCCTCAACTGAAACTTGAAATTTCAACCCACCATAAAAAATATGTATGCCCACTAAAATATGTATGCAGTTATGTCTTTCTCATTTTAAATTTTTAATTATTGTTATTGCTACTTATTTATATCTACTTATTATTTAATATATTAAATATAATAGATATTTGTAAGAGATTTTTTTTTTGGTCACTTATAGAAATAGTAGTATAAGTTTGTATTATTTATGATAGCTTTACATTTACAGTTTTAAACATAATATAAATTGTTAATTTCTGAATTACAAAGAACACATTTTCATCAATTTATTGTTAGAAATTAACTTTTGACTATTAATTAAGAAAAAATTGAATTTTCTTTAATAAATATTGGTTTTTACAATAAAGTCTCCCAACAACTGTTTGAAAAGAAAAACAATACTCAAAGATAGCTGGTTTCATCCACTAATACAATTCGTATAAAAAAAATAAATGAACTGATAACTTTCCATTTGTAGAAATATAATGAGGGTCCCACCAAAAAGCTTTCTAGTGTTAGAAAGTGTTGTCTAATTATATAGTAATAGATAGATAGATCAGTGTGATTAAATCTTATTATAAAGCCCCTTTGCCTATAAATACACCCAACAAACCTAATCCAAATAATAAGTCTAAGATACTTTTTGATTGAATCGTTTGTGTTTGAGTTGTTAAAAACTTCTCCGTAAAAAACATGAGTTCCTCCTCTGCTCGGATGACGACGATCATCCTTGTCGTCATCTCCTTGATATTTTCTGCCGCCGCGGCCACGCTGTCGGTGGCCGACGATGAAGCTCCGGCGGATGATGATAAAGTTCAGTATTACCTGAGGTGCCTGACCTCAGCATTCGACCTGGGCGACCTCAACGACCAGTGGTGCTATATTTTTTTGAAGTATTTGCCACTTGTAAAAGAACTGCCGGCTGCGTATGTAAAAGCTCTCTCCATCGTGTACGACAACAACCAGACGCGGGTCGATCTCGATATCTGCAAATACAATCTCGATCGTTGTCCGGACCAGACATTGAAACTCCTCCACGCCTACAACCATGATGTGAGTTGTAGTATATAACAACAAAATAAGTTTAAATAATTTTTCTTTGTGTGTGTGTTATCCTTTTTTTTTTTTTTTTGTATGGAAATTGGGTTTAATCAATTATATGTTTTTGGTTGCACTGAATAGGACCGGGTGTGGAGGATATCAACAAAGTGCAGTATAGATGATGAGGCGAATTATGTACCTTTGGACGAAATAATTGGGTTTGATTATTTATGTGTTTTTGGATTATGTGATATGATTCTTTTCTCTTATACATGTTACAGTTCCGTTACGGAACCATTGTGTCGGGATATGTATCTGTTAGATCAACTATCTCTGACGGTTACATGATGATTTAACAGCTACAAACCCCGACAGAATTGTTCCGTAACGGGACCATAGCATATCCCTGATTCTTGATAATTAACTAAAGAAACTGAAGAATAAGTTAAATGATCTCGGATTGATGTCTCGCTACCATTACTTGCATTTGATCGGAAAATAATAGACGAGCACAACAATTTTACGTACCTGGGAAAGCCAAGGATTAAAGACCCGACCAATCTTGGATTACTAAGGTGATGTAGGGCGTGGTAGACGAAAGGGAAGAACGAGATACTTTCTCGTACGAAACTAAAATATCTGATAAATCTTCAAAAACTGTCCCGCTTATGCATAGGAGAGTACAATATATAGAATCTCAACCCTCATAATCCTGCTTGTCTTGCCTAACAAGCTAGACCAATATTTATTTACTTAACAATATAAATTAAATAACTAAGGCAATAAAATAAACAAATAATACTAGTAAATAAATAACTAAATACGGACTCAATCCTATTTATTATCACGGCCTCGTCTCCATCATCCTCCCCCGGTTGAGAAGGATTCGGCCGCGAATCCAATCTGGTCTCGTCTCCAGCAGAAACGCAAGGTGTACAGCTTTAATAAATTCAAACCCTGACAACTTCTTTGCTTCATGCAGAGTTAGACTAAGAAAATAAAATGAAAGGAGAATGTCAAAATGGTTCCCACTAAGCTTCTGGCACGCATTGTGACACACCAATGGAGGCCATTGAGGAGAGAAAACACATGTTCCCAGGAAATTGAGTACTTTTGTTGCTGCTTCCAGTGGCATATTCCTTAAGCTTGAACCAGAGCTAGCGGCAACATTAGATTGTTCGCATCCATCTGCAGATCCAACAGAACGATTGGCCTCGGAAAAAAGATCACTGAAAAGAGCTTCATCTTCATGACAGACAACAGTTTCGACTACTGAGGAACCCGATGCTTTCGTCCCACTGGAACATGATCTCTCCAGTAGTGGCTTTAAGTTGATACCCGTAGAATGAAGGAAGAAAGCTAGCTGCATCAAATTGTCGAGCCACTGAATTGATGAAGGAAATAGAAATGCCAATAACACGTCCACTGTATATGTTCTCAACAATAATATTCCCTTATTCCGGACATGGCATAGAGGAGCGTCAAGCCCTGTGCTGTCAGTACACCTAGTATCATGGTCACCCATAACAACAATGCAATGTGCAGGATCCATTATATCAGAAATGATTTTCAAGATGAAAATAATCACACGGGGAAGCAAGCCAATGGAAGTTTGTGGCTGGAACCATATTTATCTGAACTCCAGACATCAGAGTCTACAATATGTAAGATAGAAATCGCTGCACATGTGATGTATTCAATTGCTCCAGCACCCAACGTGTCATACAAAGGAACACAATATAATCCATGAGCATTACAAGCCTCCATACTTAAAACCAACTTAGGAGAATTAGCCCAAAAAGGAACACAATATAATCCATGAGCATTACAAGCTTCCATACTTAAAACCAACTTAGGAGAATTAGCCCAAAAAATTCCACATCGTCCTCCCTCCTCAACTCCACAGCTGCGAATGAAATTGCCAATGTATAGCACAATGTCATAAGCTTCTTGATAAGTCATCCATATGTATATACCTGGCTTCCTACTAACAACTTCACGATGACCGAGCATTCTATTATTGGGACTTTTCTCTACAGATAAGCTAAAAGCGTCATCTACAAAGGCACCATGCAAAAGAAAAAGGACAGACGATGGACCCGTCAAAGCTCGAGGAGGCCTTGGATGCAAAACGGTCTTAACACCCCCAAAAAGGAAACTATAGGTGTTAAGTCGACCGTCATGCGTAGCGTCACGGTCGTACTGCCAAGGACGTCCCAAAAGCATATGACAAGCATCCAATGGTACAACATCGCACCAAATATGATTTCGATACCTCGGTCCAATGGAGAAAGAAATCAAAACGCGACGGTCCACAGTGACCGCCGTGCTTTTTTGGATCCAGGCAAGAGTATATGGTTGTGGATGAGGTTCCGTCGAAAGGCCGAGCTTCTCCACTGCATCCTTAGCAAAGACATTCTCGCATGACCCGGAACCGATAATGAACCGGCACACGCGATCACCAACAAAAAGATTATGTCGCTCAACCGGTTTGCTTGAGTCCCGAAGTGCTAAACATGACCGCCGAAGAACAAGGGCTCGTCCAACGGCACCAGTGCGGTGCTCTTCAACGGGTTCGGGCTCTTCGTCGAATACGGGTGGTCCGTCATACACGTTCTCTGCTCCATGCAACGCAGACTCTTCGACAAACAAATTACGGGAACTCGTCCCCCGTGGACATGCACCTTGTTGGTGCCCAACTTCGCCACACCCAAAGCAACGTAACCCGGCACCCGCACGCTGGCCCGTCGAATCACCAACCGCCATCGATGCGTTGCCCAGACCCAAACTTCCAGTCCGGTTCGCCCCCTGGCCTGCGGTCGAAGAACCGACTTGCTGGCCCACACCAACCGAGCGGCCTGGAATTACTGCCGATGAACCAGCCCCGCCTCGCGAACTCGGTAAGAAATTCGAAGAAGCCCGTAGGGTTTGTTGTTGTTCAATCCTCAGAGCCCTTTGGTGCGCATCAGATACCGAGTCCGGAACAAAAATATTCAACATATCTTGAATTGAAACCCTCAGCCCTCCAATATAACGCGAAACCAACTTATCCTCCGTCTCGCATACATCTATGCGTGTGAGGAGTCGATAGAACTCCTCGGTATACTCATCTACCGATCGTGCCCCTTGTCGAATAGATTGGAATTTTTGGTAGATCGTACAACGATAATTGAAGGGCAAAAATTCCTGTTCGAGATGTTTGCGGAACTTAGCCCAAGATGTAATTTTGGATTTGCCCATACGATGCCGCTTGGCCCTGAGTTGCGTAAACCAAGCTGCGGCCCTTCCACGCAGCCTAGTCGCGATGAACTTCACCCGGCAATCATCCAGAACATCCTTGAAGTCGAGGATCGACTCCACAGCAGCGAGCCAATCGAGAAACTCCGCGGCGTCGAGCCCGCACGTGAATTCCGGTACCTCAATCCGAAAGCTCGACTCCCAGCGGTTGTCGCCTCCTTCTCCTGCGCGACGTTGACCGTGAGGCATGTCCCAGCCCTCGTCGTCCTAGTGAACCGAACGTTGCTCGCCATGGTCATCTTCTCGATGCTCCCGTCAGCCGCCGAAGGGATTGGCGTCCGGCAGGGTGTCCTCGTCGTCGTCCAGGCCATGTGTCAAACGTGGCGAACGCGTCCGGGGCGCCCCGAACGGCCCTCTTCCGCCACGGCCTCCATGAAACCTGCCGCGACCACCCCGGCCTGTGGTGTCGCGATTCATCTGTTCGTCGTGCATTATGGTACGGATGGCGAGACGAATTTCTTCGATCCCCTCAGAAAGACCTTCAACACGGCGATCCACTCGATCGATTTGGAACCCTAGATCATCGGTTCGGCGATCCAAATCTTCAAGATGGGCATCCCGTTGTTCGTTGTCATTTCGTTTTGGCGACATCTTGAATCGTCTCGGTCTGCTGATACCAACTGATGTAGGGCGTGGTAGACGAAAGGGAAGAACGAGATACTTTCTCGTACGAAACTAAAATATCTGATAAATCTTCAAAAATTGTCCCGCTTATGCGTAGGAGAGTACAATATATAGAATCTCAACCCTCATAATCCTACTTGTCTTGCCTAACAAGCTAGACCAATATTTATTTGCTTAACAATATAAATTAAATAACTAAGGCAATAAAATAAACAAATAATACTAGTAAATAAATAACTAAATACGGACTCGGTCCTATTTATTATCACGGTCTCGTCTCCATCATAAGGAAATCGAAACTTCAAAAGAAATAGATGTAACCATTACATCAAGAAGGCAAATAGATGAAGCATACGAAAAGGATGAGTTGCGCAGAAAATGAAAGTTTTCGTAACTTCCACCATGATTGTTCATACAAGGGTAAATTGGTCAAACTGAACTACACAACCAGTACCCATTTTTTAGCTACAACACAATTCACGTACTGTTTTAACACTATTTACCACACTTCCTATGGGTGTACTTTGTTACAGGGCTTTTTTTTACTGATACAAGAAGTTACCACACTGTACATGGATGTTTACACAAGATTACGCTGCTAGCCGCTCGGTTGACCAGTTTTTGTCACGTTGGACTGTACCGTAAATTTTTCTCATAGAAGTCTATGAGCTGCATAACAAGATCGAAAATTTAAAGTAACTTCACCGAGAGATATGCACTCAAGTCTGAGTGGTAAAGGTAAAAAATTACAATAATAATAATATATGAAGAAGAGGATGAAGCAGAATAGAGCACTTACCAGAAGCGGGTTGTAAGCTTTTAAAAACTTGTTATCCACAATCACTTTGGTTCCATCGGACCTGAAGCCAGCAAGAAATTCATGTCGTTTTAACTGGAAAAATAAGTTGCAACACAAGTCTTGACACAAAAATCAAAGAAATTTAGAAAACCAATTCAAACAAAAGAAAAAAAGCACGATAGACTGAGATTCATTTTCAACACATAAATTATCTAATTAATCACATAATTAAAAATTAAACAGACACCGTGCATCAAGATAAGTTTAAAAATGCAGACAGATATGTCTAACCCGCAACATGATAATATGACATAATATGACATTCTAAACTCCTAATATAATATCACATAATAATAATGGACTGAGTAACATAATATGACATTCTAACCAGCAAAAGGCCAAACTCCTAAAGTTGTTAAATTTGACAGGATGAGAGACCGTTAAAAGTAAAAACAGTGTGGCACATGTATTTATCTGCTCTAGAATGCCATCATATAGTTATGATCATTTTTTTCAGAGTAAACTCGTTATTCTCCACAACAATATATCAGATCCTCTAATAAAGCAGTGAAATAAACTATGCCTTTCATGTCATCCACATCCACTCAAGAAGATCACACAACAAATCCCATCCTATATCATTTTTGCAGCTTAACAAATACAACAAACGTCAAAATAAAAAAAGGAAAAAAAAAAAACCTGAAAACGGCTAGATCAAACAGAAATGCACAAGTATTGAGAGAGTCTAAAGTCCAATCAACAGCACAATGTTGTAAAAGATTGACAGCTAGCTGGAGCTATTTACTATAAACCATTAGCCAACATGATCTCTCATAACAACAGCAAATAAATGTAATCAGTTGCACGTGCACAAGATAGATACTTTCTCCCTAGAATACTCCCAACTTCACATAAAAACAACTATCTATGGTCGGACTAAGATAAAAATGAAGTTAACAGCAGTAATATTAGATCACAAACCTGACGGCCTCAAATGCCACTAACACATCTTGCACGTTGTTTGCCACGGAAGCCTTATAACTAATAGGCTTCACAATCTGGGTAATTGCGCACATGCTTTTGGAATTATTCTCGTACTTACTATCCCAGCCGCCCATATTATTCCCGAAAAAATCAGTGCGCTCAACACTTTCCGGTGCAAGGGACCCACAAGGTGAAACCCCATTCGCTGCATCCTCAATGGAGCACGCCTCTGGGCCTTTCATGAACCTCTTCACACAACCCGATTTCCTCTTTTTAGCTCCGGTAAAACGACCGGTTTGCACAGGATTCAACCCCTCAGTCCTTAATTCGTTCGCCAAATCATCTCCCATTGGACGTTGGCCTTCTTCGGATGTTCGAGCCAGCCTGTCAGAGACTTCTTGGCCGGCCACCATTGCCCCCTTCAACTCGGAGAGTTTCAAGTTCCACTGGTTTTGTTCCTTTTCTTCTTCTCTCACAATTCTTGCACCAATCTCATTTGCTTTCTTGGAAATTTCGAGACTGTTTAGGCCATATACAGTAGTTTGCCCACTCTCATTTGCAGAGGTGAAGTTTTTTAGCCTGGGAAAGGGCATAGGCTCGTCGGCTATCTTTATCACATGCGAGGGCACGCTATATGTGGCGGTCGCAGGGGACCTCTGCTGCTGGTGCTGTTGTTTGTCCTGTTGTTTTTTCTTGGTCTGAACGTGAGTTACACTAGCCTTGCGTTTCCTTTTGCGTATACACCTACTTTTTCCCGGTTTCAAGCTTAAAAAAAAAAAAAAAAAAAAAAGCAACAAGAATCCAATAACTAAAGAACAAGTAATGGAAAACCATGAAATGGCCTGAAATAACATAATTATCTTTCCAACTATTTTGATTAACAGACACACTATAGCTTATCACTTGAATAAAACAAAAACATTTTCACAACAGGGACAGTTAAACCTTTCTTCAAATGCATCGATAATATCCGAACACTGCAACAGATTTCCCACTGGCTCCCAGGTATTTGCTGCTTCCGGCCAGCCTCGCCTTTCCAAACCAAACCCAACACACTAATCAGCACAAAAATCCTATCAGACTCATACAAAGACAAACCAAATTCAACACCATTTTCTCTCTGAAAAAAAAACAGACAAACATTACCAAGACATCAAGAAATCAAGAAAAAAAAAAAAAAAAGATCGATAACAAACACCACGAGACATTGTTATGAGTTCCAGATAACTCACCATTTGATGAGATACTGCACTTTCCCCTTCCAATTTTTGCCGCATTTCCCACCAAAAAACAACGAGATAACCACAAATCAAAGACAGGCGAGCTTTAGTAAAACCCTCAACGCACGAATCTCGTCTTCCAACTTCTTCTAACGAAGCGAAAAGTGGAAAAACAAAAAGGAAATGTAAGAAATACCTTTCGGACGCGCTTTCTGCGTACGGCCTCGATCTCATAGTACCCATCGGCGAGCTTCGTCCTTTCGCCCTCCGCCGCCTCCCCAATTTGCGCCTCTCCCAGCTGCTCGTACTCTCTATCAGCTCCCGAAAACTCCTCATCCTCTCCTTCTTCCTCTTCAAAATCCTCCACCGCACCTTCGATTCTGCCGCTGTCATCTTCTGTATTGTGCCTCCCTTCCCCCGCCGCAACGCTGCCGTCTCCGGCGGACTCCGGGTCGGGAGGCGGTGGCTGTGCAGGGTCGGTACCATAATTCCTCTTTCTCCCACTCCCACCTTTCATTTTTCTCTCTCTAACAGCTGTGTTTCTCTCTCTTGAGTCTACCTTGGTCGCTCACGGCCCGGCCAAAGGGGCTTTCCCAGATTTCAAAATATTTTTGGCCCTTATAGCTTATATTTTATTTCGCTTTCTTTATTTTTTTTTTCTATATCCAAAAATAAAATAATTATAATATTCGTACTGTTATATTATGATACACTAGTATCTTCACCCGTGCGATGCACGGAACATATTTATTAAAATATTTTAATAAATACATTAATATCCTCGATATATATAATTTCAGAATGCGCTGAGCTTACGTGGCTTCTTCTGGTGCTTCGTAATCCTACTTGGCAAAGAATCATGCTTCGTAATTAGGTTTGGACAAATAATATTAATATATTAATAAATAATAATTTAGGTTTGGACATTCTATAAATATTATTTAGCTAACTTAGTATTTTAATATCAATTGTACTAATATAACCCTTTAATTCTTTGTATTTTACATAGTGAGACACTAAGTGATTAATGTATCCATACTTTTGATTTGTTTCCTTCAATTAGCTATTGAATTGTAAATGTACTTTAAAAGTTGATAACTTTTATATTTCTTATCGGTTTTACATATATAATATATCAAATTAATCATCTTTTGATGATCTTCGATTTGACATCCATATTGTATATATGAAATAAATAAATTATATTTATCTTTATAATAATAAAAAATAATAATATTTATTAAAATTCATTAGAAAAATAAAATTATTTCTCAATTGATATATTTATGTTTAATATAGTTATTTGTTGTAAGTTAAAAAAATTATTACAGTATAATACATATAAGTCGCACAAATAAAAAGTGTCATACTAACTATATAATAATATATATATTTTTATAAAAGGTGTTTAGATTTTCAACTATTTTTCTCATTAATTTTATATTTTTAAAAAAAAAATTAGCACACACCCGTGTAATACACGGGCGTTGTACTTGTATATATATATATCATAAAAAGTAAATGACAAGTAAATAACATTATTATTGAATAGATAGTAAAAGTACAATATTATATGGTATTATAAATTTAGAAAAATTTCTCGATAGACAACATTTTTAGTAGTTTTCTTTTCCCCATTATCGTCCCACCACATATTAATATCTTCAATCCCTGTGGATTAGTGACTCGAGACACATCAACGTATAATTGACCATGACTAATAAACACAGGTCTTTTCATGTAAAGTCCGACATGGGATAACGACTGCTCTTGACTCTTGTTGATTGTCATTACGTAAGAAAACATAAGAGTAAATTGTCTACGCTGGAACTTGAAGGGTATCCTAAGATCAGATGGAGATAAGAAAAGTCTTGGTACCAGTACCTTATGTCCAACATTTGATCCTGTTAGAATCTTACATTCAAACACGTGAGTGAAAAGCTTCGGTATCACCAAGCGTGTTCCACTACACAGTCCAATCGAATGGTCAATGTTTCTCAACAACATGACAGAAGTCTCAACCTTTAAGTGCAATTAATGATTTGGAACACCAAAATATTTTATACTATTTAAGAACTTCAGAGTGTGCAGGTCATGCAAGAAATCAACACCACCATCGGATTTGAATATGAGAGAACAATACACAGATTTCGAATATGAGATTTATAGCGTGAATTACTCCTATTTTGTACTCGAGTATCTTAGTAAGTTTGAGTGTATTTTGTTAAGTGTTCACCAATAATAATGCTTAAATTTTATTGACATTAATATGATTCAAGTATTTTGTTAAGCATTCAGCGGCAAAATTTTAAAAATGATACACTAATTTGGCGTTGTCAACAAAACAGTCATTTTGTTGTCCCTCACGGAAAGAAAATATTTAGTTGACAATTTGGTCGGAAAAGATACATTAAGCACTCAACTTGGATAAAAAAACTGACGTGGTCAGATTAGATAATGACGTGACATTATAAATTTCCTTAATTTTCTACGTGTGATATACGTGGCGTTATGTGTCATCCTTCTCTCCAAGTACACAACTACGCTAACATAAATAAAAATAAAAATACTCGAAAAATAAATCAATACACATCAGAAAAAATAAAATAATAATAATATAAATAGAAAATAAATCCAAAAATAAAATAAAATAAAAAAAAAAAGAAAAAATATATTTCGTTCTATTTTGTCAACTATATATTAATAAAATATTTAAAAAACTTATATTTTGTTAATATATATTAAAAAATAAAAAAGATATTTCGTTAATATTTCGTTTAACATAAATATATTTCACTAATATATATTAAAAAATACTAAAAAAATGAAGTTCATTAATAATAATAATTATATATAATTTATTATACTATATAATATAATACTTTACATAATTTTTTATTTATTTAATATATATAAGTATATTAAATATAAATATAAATCACAAATTTAAATTTATATTTAAATAAATTGAAATATATTTTTTAGATATATATTTTTAAAATAATTAAAATATATTTTTTAATATAAATTTATATTTTGTGATTCATATTTATATTTAATACTTATATATATTAAGTAAATAAAATTTTATGTAAAACTACTATATTAAATAATATAATTAATAATAAATTATATATAATTATTATTATTAACAAAATATTTTTTAATATATATTCGCGAATATATTTATATTTAACAAAATATTAACAAAATATTTTTTAATAACGAAATATTAACAAATTATTTTTTATTTTTTTAATAATTTTTTATATGTATTAAAGAAATATAATTTTAAAAATATTTTATTAATATATAGTTAAGGAAATAGAACAAATTTTTTTTATTTTTGGATTTTTTTAATTTTTCTATTTTTTTATTTTTATTCTTATTATAATTATTGTTATTTTTTTTGCTAATGTGTCTTTATATTTATTTATTTTTGGATTTATTTTATTTTATTTTTATTTATCTATGTGTAGTTGTGTATTTTGAGATAATGATGTCACATCACACCACGTATATAACACGTATGAACTAAATAAAGTTATAATGCCACGTCACTATCTAATCCGGCCACGCTAGCTTTTTTATCCAAGTGGGGTGATTAATATATCTTTTCCGACCAAATCGCCAACTACATGTTTCTTTTCCGCGAGAAACAACAAAATATCTATTTTGTTGATAACGCTCAACTTGGTGTATCATTTTTGAAATTTTACCAGCATTCACCATTATCATGTATTCATCTAATAACTTAATTTAAATCGATTATTCATAATAAATATTCTTTTTAATTTGTTTTGGATCTATGCGTAATGTTAGAATAAACTAATACGTATGGTTATGTTAGCATAAACTAATACTGCTGCCTTAAAAAACATAGTAATGACATATGTAGAGTTCATGATATTAAATATATTTAAGGTATCAAGTGATTGAAATATGGTGACCGTAGTTGATGTTATACATTTTTAAATATATAGTAAAAGAATATTAATATATTTCCAAACAGAATTAATTGAGTAAGTTAACTTTTACTTATTATTTTCCATTCCTAAAATTTACCAAAAATAATTGAATACGAATTTAGTTATGTTATTATATTTCCCTTAATTATTTGGCATTCTTAACAAAAATAATTAACCTTACAATTACAATTACCCAACCAAATGTAGAAATGTTGCCAATTATAGTCATTGCATATCATCTATATTTAGCAATAAATTCCATCAACTCCCTCTTTATATATATATAGATTTTAGCATATAGTCAATCAACATGCTAATGAATAGTAATTGCTATAATAATATAATTTGACATTTTTCTTGATTGTTTAAAAAGGTATGGATGGATGACAAATGAAGACTTAAAAACTGTTACATTTTGATTAATTTTATGTCCCACATCGGATGTGTACCAAAGATGTGTAGGATCTTTTTAGTATAAATAGGTCCCTTGCCTTTGGGTTACACTTGCACCTTATTCTATTCTCTCCTATTTAGAAGGAAATCCTTAATTAAGGAAATCCTATTTTGTGGGTTATTTAACCCTAGTTGTATTTTGTTGGTGAGTTTAGTAAATTTGGCGTTGCGGTTGGCGGTGCCCGGAGACGTAGGCTATTTTCGCCGAACTCCGTTATCAATTTTTGTGTTCTTTTCTTTTCCGTCTTTTATTTATTTGTGTTGGCTTATTTTCGTTTGGAGTAGTGTTCGCCAGATTTGTTGGAGGGGTATTTTTGTCCGCTGCGCTTGTTGTGATACCCCAACAAGTGGTATCAGAGCCGAAGGTTCGTCCCAGGTTCATTCGGAGAGGCGAGCACTGCATTCGGGTCCGAGATGTCCAAGGAGGTCAAGGGCGCATCATCCTCTGCATTCATTCTGGCAAGGACGGTGATGCCGAACGTCAGACTCCCGGTGGAGATCTTCGACGGGACCGGTCATTTCGGCATGTGGCAAGGCGAGGTGCTGGATTGTTTATTTCAGCAAGGCGTCGACATTGCGATTGAAAAGGAGAAGCCAACAGACGTTGAAGAGAAGGACTGGAAGAATATCAACCGCTTAGCATGTGGAACAATTCGTTCGTGTTTGTCGAGGGAGCAGAAGTACGCATTCAAGAATGAGAACTCTGCTCACACTTTGTGGAAGGCTTTGGAGGATAAATTTCTGAAGAAAAGCGGCCAGAATAAGCTCCTCATGAAGAAGCGATTGTTCCGATTCGAGTACCGGCATGGCACATCGATGAATGACCACGTCACTGCATTCAATCAATTGGTTGCAGATTTGTTGAACTTGGACGTCACATTCAGCGATGAAGATTTGGCTCTTATGTTGTTATCATCACTTTCAGATGACTTCGAGCACCTAGAGACTACTCTGCTCCATGGGAAGGACGATGTAACTCTTGCAGTGGTCAGTTCTGCTCTGTATAGCTATGAGTTGAGAAAGAAGAACAAACAAGAGACGAAGAATGCAGCAGCAGAAGATGAAGCGTTAGTTGCAAGAGGTCGGTCGAAGAGCC